ATCGCTGACCGGGGAAAAAGGGATCGCGGTGGAAAAATAAGGTGTGGGATTTATAAAATCAGGCGAAGACGTTGTCAGGGAGTGATGTATGTTTGAAGAAACCAGTAGAACATTGCGGGTCTGTTAGTCAGGGAACTAGACAGACGGATAAGCACAACCACCACATAAATTCGGCACTACGGCCAAAATGTACTATAAATCCACTTGAGATGCTGAATGCGATCAGAGATAGGCGTCCACAGTTTTCTTAATTAACACGGTTCTAGAAGACGATTTGTGAATCATGGGAATCATAACCTATGCACTCTGCACAATGAGGCGGAGATGTACGTGTTTCTAAGGTCTTGAGAAATAGCGTCTGGACTAAAATGCAGACTAGGACTGGGACCGTGTGGAATCGGTCAACCAGAAAGATAGGAAACGGATCTACGAGACCATGAGGGCGATCCGGATAGGAAGCCCTGGTCGGATTATCCGATCGAAAGAGAGGGGGTCATGGTGAATAGCAGGCATGATGTGGCCACACTAAATTTGGAATATAAACAAGTTAGAAGTTGCGATAGGGCGGGAGTTGAATAAGAGGGTATGGAGTGGACAGATGGGCCGGCCAGAATGAGGAGTGATAGTGTAACCCTTTTCGGCAGAACGTTGGTCGAGGGATTGACTTCATTTGTCTCTTTGACGAGTTCTTTGCTTAGTGCAGAGAATGGCAGCACTTACTAATGATGCCGACTAAGATGCCGGCGCAACGTCTGAGAATATACCAAGTCCACGATCTGATGCTGGGAATCATGACAACTACTATGGCAGACAAATTCGGACTAGGTGTGTTGTACTAAGTCCCCCTGACAACAGGACCAAGTTGCGAAAGCGAGGTAAACGCAATTATAAAATGTTCCTTGTTGGTTCGACCTCGTATTCGCAACTGGGTCAGGAAGACCTGGTGGGACGTACCTAGTCCTGTGTCCTCTGCTATAATATTCGTGATTTCCAGCATCTGACCACTGACTTGGTATATACCCAAACGTCAGTGAGAGATGCCATCATCAGCACAGAGTCACAACTTATCAACTTATTAACTTTTATTGTTGTGTTTACTTTCATTTCAAGTGAAAACTTTTGATGAAGACATTCGAAGTTCGATTCCACCAGAAGACGACGGCGAATTCCTCTCGAACAGATGTCGATTGGCTTTACTGGAACATTAATGCTGATGCTGTTGCCGAGGTAATCTCCTTCGATTTCGGTGAAAAGGTGCTAAGCTTTCGTCCATCATATGACGTACGTCATTGGAGCAAGGTATCATCGTCACAACCAATTTCAAGCTAACTTGCCAC